TCAAGTTCTGGGAGCGAAGCTGCTAAATATGCAACAATAAAGTATATTTCAGTGGGATTTTACAGAAGCGGGTTACCAGATGTTACCAGTTATCACTTCACGGAGAAATGAGAATCATTTGACTGCGACTAGAAGAGCAATGAGTTATTTGTATCTCTATAATCTGACAATCAAAATGCTTTTGTCTAGTTAAAATGCTCCGCTGATAAATGCAATTGTTTTTTTGTGAGTGGCTGTGATTTGATTATGGTAATTATATGTTCGCTCTAAAAGATGACATTTAACACTTCTTTTTTTTCTAATCAGATTACAGTTATTGCAGTGCAACAAATTGAGCTACAAGCCTGGCGGTGTTTCTATTTATTTGTCTGTGCATTACTGCTGCGAGAAACTGCGTGGGAGCGCGCATGTGCATGTATGTCGCAGCGTTGACATGCTCGCGAATGTAGGGCAGGGGAGGATCTTGTGATCCGCTGCAGCCGAGTCAAGGATTTCAACCTTCACCCTGGACTCTCCATAAGGGCAAACGCACTGTAAAGCAAAAGAAGCCAAAGGGCCCAGTGGTGGTGGGGGGGGATTATTCGGATGGACGGGTGCACAATGTGTAGGTTGTTGAGCAAAAAAACAACAGAGATACGGAAGATAGCCCACGCAAAAGAGTGTTGGTGATGCAACATGCCTCCTAACCTTAATCCTGTCAGGTGTGAATGCTGCAGACAGATCACCCCACAGCGTCTAATGCACTTTGTCAGATATATTCTCCGGTCTAGGTACCCACATTTAAACGAGTCAGGAAATAAGTAGCCATTATCAATTTTATCCTCAAATGATAAAAGTGCTTATCAGTAGCTTCCGTGTTTCCAGTCTCAAAAAAAGAAGGAAAACAAAAATGGAGGAAGTCGGATTCACCTGCAAAGTCAAATAAACGCAGCGACAAGAATGGAAACAACTTTGCCGTTGGCTGGTGGCGGCCATTATGCGTTTGGCCGAGGCAGTCTTCTGGAGGTGCGATAGCGTGTGCTCCACTGCGGCAGTGTTCTGGTGGGGAAGTCGGAGTGTTTCAGACTCCACAATGGAACACCGAGATGGAGAGTGACAGCTGTCAAGAGGGATCAGGCTTAACCGGCCCGCTGAGCTGGAAATCAGGGGGGGGGGGGGAGAGGAGTGCACGACGACAGACTGCCTCTGTTTACTGCCTGGTGGCCTTACCCTTATATAGAACAACAGAGACTCACCGGCCCAGGCAGCTCCCTACTGAAAACAGATCACAGAGCAGTCATGGTACATTATTTCAGTGAGGAGCGAATGGTAAAGAAAATGGAGATATATTTGTTTTGCTCCAATGGGGGGGGGGAGTATAAAGACTATCTGTATATGTATATGTGTATATATATGTGTATATATCTGTATATGTATATGTATATGTGTGTATATATATATATATATATATATATCTGTATATGTATATGTATATGTGTGTATATATATATATATACACACACACTGTATGTATGTGTGTGTGCAGGTACATATGCTTGTCCCTCCTCTCTCGTTCCTGCTCCGTTGCTCATTTTCTCCATTACATTTCCTCCTCCGTAAAAGCCTCCTGTCTAAAATCACTTCCTTTCTCCAACCCCTAAACACAGCACGGCCATTTTACTCACAAACAGCTCATTCCGTATCCTGTGTTTAGACAACGCAGTGAAATACAACCAGTTTGTGCGCTCATACACCAGAGGGGTGGGAAGGTGTATGTATGTGTGTGTCTGTGTGTGTGTGTGTGTGTGTGTGTGTGTGTGTGTGTGTGTGTGTGTGTGTGTGTGTGTGTGTGTGTGTGTGTGTGTGTGTGTGTGTGTGTGTGTGTGTGTGTGTGTGTGTGTGTGTGTGTGTGTGTGTGTGTGTGTGTACATAGGGGGTGGTGGGTGCTAACGGACAGCGCAGGCTGGTGCTGGTCTGGGGTTTAGATCAGTCCCGGGTTATCATTACTGAACCCCCTGCTGTGTTTCCACGACCCCTTGTCCGTGAATTTTGACCTTTCGACCCCCCCACGACTCCTGTCAGAGCTGTGCTGGGATAGACGGGACCGGGGTGGACGTGGATCCCCTGCGGTGACACCAAGGCACGGCGACACACACGCAAAAAAAATATACACACACACACACAGACGCCATTTGTTGCTTACTTTACCCCACACCCTTTGTTGCTTATTCTACCTCATGGAAGGAGCAGAAGTGGGGGCAGGGATGATCAAGGACAAGACAAACGGAGCCGTGGAGTCAGAGTGGAGCCCAGGGGAGAGGGGGGGAGGGGGGGGGACAGGAAAAAAAAGACTGTTGCGAGATTCAGTGGAATGTCCACTCCCTGTGCGTCTTCTTCTTGTCTCAAACGGTGTCTGCCCCGTTTGACCGTTAATCAGGCCAGATAAGCCGAGTCTTTATAGGCCGAGCAGATTTACATCGCTCTGCTGGCCGGCTGGGCCGCATTCCCAGCAGAGACGGTGGGATAATGCACCCACATCTTCTAGGTGGGGATAAGCTGGCCTAAAGAGGCCTAAAGCAAACACACGCACACAAGTCGACTGTACAGGAAAAGCAGGAAAGGTGTGTTAAGCGCAGGTGCTCGCCGTCCCTCGCTCCGGCAGCCACGCGTTGTCTAAATGATGGATGAAGTGTGTCGCGGTGAATGCACAGGCCGCAGCGGAATAAATAAAGCGAGCTCTCCGTGTTGCAAAGGACAACAACATTACCATAATACCGAGGCAAATACCTCATCCGATTACTGCTGGCGAGAGAATGTTACAGTATATGAGCCTAATGATGATCCACCATCATGCTGGATCCTGCACGGCCAGCCTCCCTTGTGACGGATTTAAAACTGGCTCTAGTTATGAGTTCACAGTCTGAAACACCGAGGAGCGAGAGTTAAGTATTCTTAACACTCAGCGAGACGGGTGCTACGCGGCAGAGACTGTTGTATGAAAGCAAATTTGACCTCAAGTAAAGTTAAAAGTTTTCACTCTGATGTCGGGTCATACTGTAGCCCTCGCACATGTCACTAATAGAGTTGTTTAAAATATTTATGCTGTAATCAGGAGACAATATGTGGAGCAGCAGCCCCACTAACAGCCGGCTAGGAAAACTTTGAGCAGACGGCGAAAAGTGCCCAAGGTGTATTCCCGAAGACATGTGGGTGTAATAAAGCTCAAAGAAGTATTTCTTTAAAGTCCACATGATGTGTTGCCACAGGAGCGGCCCCCAAAAAACTGCCGCTTGATAACATCACAGGCTTCATGCTTCCCCGCGCTCCGGCTTTGAGGCCGAGTTCGCAAATATCGACAGAACTGCTCCAGATCAAAGGGATCACATATATGCGGGATTTAGTTTAGCGTGGATTTTGTTTTTTGTCCTTTAGAGGGAGATGACATAAAGAGGCTATTCTTTTAAGAATAAAGCATAAAGTAGCTTGTTTTTATTTTCTTAACATAAGACCAAATTAAAAACTTTCTACCTTCTGAAGGATTGAAAACACTTAGATAAGATAAGATATAAACATAAATCATCCATCAGGGGGGGGAAGAAATGCAAGGAGTTGAATATTTTCAATGTTTTATGGGTATTTCAAAATAAATGTCATTGTATATTAACGGTGTTAAGCTTCATGAGACTATAGATGTGTTGTGGATCAGTATATTTATTATGGCCTGAAGACATCGAAACTCTGATCATTTCATTGATACGGAGGAGAATCAAATACAGATGTGGCAGAACCCCCAACTGACAGTATCCTCACACCAGATCAACCCCACCGCATGTAATCAAGTCATTCCAGGAAATGTAGGACTGAAGTAATAATTAGATAAAGCCGAAGCAACGTCTAAAATAACACCGTCTTTGGCATTATGAACTGAGCCCCAGCGTGTATGTTGCTGCAGCTACTGAGCTAACACGATGGAGAAAGACCCCTCGGAGGAACTGTGGCTTTGTACCTGGCCGCTCATTATTTACAAATCCCATCAAAACACCAAAACTGACAATGTGTTAGTCTGTCTCTCAATACTGCCCGACTTCCCCGAGGCAGCTTTAAGCCCGTTCTTTCCCTACTGAAGACGTAAATCTTTAAAAACTGGTCAGACAATATATTACTTCATTAAAAGAAATTATTAAAAAAAAAACAGTAATTTCCCGAAAAAAGCTAGCTACATTTAAAATGTTGCTTTCGTAAAAGTATGGCAGTATTATCAGCAAAATGTAAAAGTACTCATTGTGCAGAATAGCCTCTTTTATAATCATCCACCTCATACTACAGGTCTGCAATGTATTTGTACATTTCTTGGGAGTTTAGTTAATAGTTTGGGACTAACTGAAGGGAAAAGCTACTTTCTAAAAAAACAAAAACTATTAATTTATGATTAAAAACTTAGGTCTCCATTAATGCTGAACTGCCCAGCAGACACTCTGTGCAGTGACGAGCAGACACTCTGGGTTAAGCAGTTAGTTGGAATTCATTAAATGATGGTGCACCAACTAAACAACGTCTCTGTTCTCCAAAAACAGAAGACCTAATTACATGGTTACTTCTTGGGACATTATAGGGAAATGATTCTGAAAGTAAAGTCTTGTAAAGCAAAGGTTTTGATGATCTTATAATAATATAGAATTTTCCATTTGTAGAAGTGAAAATGGAGAAACAAGCACCTCAAAACTGCACTTAAGTAAAGTCGTATACTCGAGGAGATGTCAGTCAAGATTGTAGGTTTGCATCCTGAACTCTACCTCCCTAAACGCCAATACCCACTATATCATGAGCGAGGCACGTCAGCCCCAGTTGTTGCTATGGAGCCGCTGCGGCGGCCATTAACATGCAGTGTGTTACCAGGAAAACTCCCAGGTGTGACTGTGCGTAACTGAGTGTGAAGCCGATTATTACTCTTCGCTTCTCTGCTTAAATGGAGGTTGAAAAGCTAAATATCAACAATAAATCACGTTGGGAGACAAACTCACAGGTGATGTAGTAGTTGACGTTCCTCTTGAACTCCAGGCCCATGTAGTTGGGGCTGAACTCCTGGAATTTGATGGTGAACTTGATGTCCTTCTCGGGCTTGTTACAGTTGACCAGGACATTCGGATCGAGGACTGTGCTGCAGCTCTCCGCCTGCTCCCTCTTCACCAGGTACAGCTTGTAGAACTCGTACTCTCGGCCTTGGTCCCCTTTGGGACAGATGATGTCCAGCTTGTCCCCTATGTCTGGGTAGATCACAAGGCCCTGTCCAGCCACGAACCTGGCAGGGTGAGAAAAAAAGACGGTGAAGACAAATTATCACCAACACATCATAAAAGTAGTCTGGAAATGCAGCCACATAACTCAACAACAGTTTATACAATCTTAATACTTTGAGCTATGGGAGTTATGGGTTTTAGATTTGTCTGGTGTGGGCCTTTAGGCAGAGCGTGGTTAATTCACCCCCCCCCCCCCACACACACACACACACACACACTACATGTAGCAACTTGACATTGTTCAGCCGTCGGGCCGACAGAGCGTTTGACACAAATCCTCTGAAGTTTCTTTTTCATACTTGGATCCAAATCAAAGCATACCGAAAGTTTAGCGAGGAGAGGAAACAAGATGGCCAAACACAAAATGGCTGCCGCAGAAATGGCTGCAGATGGGATTACAGCCAAAGAATGCAGCGGATTGTTGTTTTTCTTCATATTTGCGGACTTCCACATAAGACCCGTGCTTCGGCATGATATCTACGCTGCCTCTACTTCAGAGGTCCTGAGTTTTCTGGAGGAAAACAGCGCGCTGGGGGTCAGCCGGAGAGGTTCAGGCTTCCTAGTTCATCTTCCCTCTGCCATGATCATCTACTGGAGGATTAAGATAATCCATCTGGCCTTACTGTACCTCTCCACCTCGCTCTCTGCTGCCAACTCAATCAGATCAGCTCTTGTTCTCCTTTATTCACTAAAGGTGGGGAACAGGAGGAGACCCAGTGTGTGTGTGCGTGTGTGTAAGTGTGTGTGAAGAGAGCAGGCGGGGCGGTGGGTACACAGAGTACTTGCAGTGTGTTTGGGCAGTGGTGTGTATGTTTTTGCACGCCTGCATATGTGTGTGTGTGTGTGTGTGTGTGTGTGTGTGTCTGTGTCGGTCAGCAAAATGGGCTGAGTTTGCGGTCTGATGGGGGGGG